GCATTAGCTACGACATGATCCTTTTGAAGACAAGTGGGGAAGTATTAATTCATGTTTTTTGGCACAAGATAGCAACAAGTAACCATATAACACTTTCTATTGTTCCTCTGTTTTTTTTTTTAAATCAGAAAACTTTTGTCAGAAAAGTATATGATGTGAAATCATTTAAATTTATGTGAAATCTACACCATTTCATTGTTTTAATGTTTAACAGACTTACTAAAAGTAATTTGCAAATAAGTTTTTCTCTTTCCAAGGTGGAAAGGAATGCCTAATTGTTAACAGAGTTAATTTTCAGTTGACTCCTAAGATAACAGGGCAGCTTTAGGAGCCTAATTAAACCACATATTTGCTCTAATTACTTTAGCCACAGACTGCTAGGAAACAAAAGCAGCTAACAGGCCTGTTCTGTGTGTAGCAGGCAGGCTTTTTTCACTGTTGTTTTCTTCAACAGAGGGTTTGAGGAGAAAAACAAAGCTAAGAGGCAAAGTCATCATCTGCAAAAGGAGGCAAAAGTCCCTGTCTCTGCTTAGTGGAGAAAGTATGTGCATCATGCCTGCCTTTATTTATGTTCAAACACAGAAAGATCAATCATTATCACTAGCATCATTTTTGAGCATCAAGAATCCTACCACATTTTGATCTACATAATTGAACATTAGCTCACAAAGACAAGAGTTAATAATTATAGGATAATTTGTACATTGGGCAAGAATAATAGCTCTATTATGCTGGTAATTTCTTATGCTTTATTCTCTTGAATAACGTCTCTTGAAACTGTTCATATTTGATGTAACAGTTTAATTTTTCAGCTAAGTAAATTCATATTTTAATTAGATACTTTTATTACAGTACAACTAAGAATTTGAATACTGATAATCATGTGAATAAGGGAAGAGTGAACTTTTACTATGGGGACTAGACAGTCAAAGATTTTTTTAAAAAAAAAAAAATAACAGGACGCCTAGGAAATCCTTTGAAAAACAAAGCTCATTAAATGCACAATTTTTACAAGAAGGATAAAGATACCATAATGGTTTGTCCATTCCCTTTGCTTTCTATATGTAAAATACCAGCTTCAATGCTTGTGGGGTTAGACTAAGCTAAACTAGTGAATGAAATATGAACTATTATGGATGTTAATATTTCTTATCTATTACTTTAAAATGATGTGCATCATACTCTGTTCAGACTCCAAATTTAAAGGCATGAATGAGTGGACATGCAAAAACAACTTTTGCTTTCTTGAGCAACAAGTCTAAAGACTAAAACAATAATAAAAAAAAGAGCCTTAAGCCCTAAGACACAACAACATACAGGCAAAGGAAAGGAGAGCATTAAGGCCAGTTCAGGCTAAACACAGTCTCCACCTTTTGTCTGAACCATTGAGATGTCTGTGCCAACTCTGCTTTATTTTGGCTATGGAAACCTAACCTAAACCAAACAGCTATTCTATATCATTAAGTTGTCCAGGAAGATGAAAGTTTAAATATATGTCAGACAAGCTGTAGCATCTGCTGCATCTCAGTAAAGGAGGTCTCTCCCAAAACCTTCTGTGCTGGAAGAACTCTAGGACAGCAGAGCTTTTCTGGGCCTGTGGGAAGAAAATGATGCTCTTCTAGTTAAATATTCTCTCTGCTCACCAGGGCTCATGCTTCCAGATCTGCTTGTGTTGTAAGAAACATACAAAGAAAAATCCCTGCATGAAACATCTCACTATAGCTCTAATTCCATTTTGCTGTGGTCAAATAATATACCTCGGTCACAAAGTGACAGGGCATGCTTAACTTCTCACTGTAGTTGTTAAAAAATTTTTTTTGATCCATTGTTTTCCCCTCACACCAGAGAAAACTGTCATATTGTTTCAGAATGTTATAGAATTGATTTAGTGTAGATTTTCTCTTACAATTAGGTGGCATGAAGACCAACTTAGCTTTTCTTTTCAAAAAGCATCCAAGATCAGATATGTAATCTCTTAAAGATATTATTAGAAGTAATCCTGACAGCTTGCACTACAAAACATGGTTAGGAAAATTCACAAATCTCTTTAGAATAGAAGGGAATCAAGTTTTGTGTGATTTTTAAAATCACCAGCTGAGAGAAAAAAAACTCGTAACACATATGGCAAAATTTTAAAATCTTTACTATGTAAACAAATCAATACATAAAATAAGAATCCAACAGATAAAGCAAATGATTTAAAATGACAATTTGTAGAAGGAAATACATAGCACGTAGACATACAGATAGACATTTTATCTTATTGTCAAACAAAAATAAAAATCATAACAGTGGGATTGCATTTTGTTTATCAGTATCTTTTTTTAAACTAAGAGTATCTAATGACAACAAATGATGTGGTGGCAGGGTAAAGTCATATAATATTTAAAAATAATGTATGAAATATTCATATTATGCCTCATTAATGTTAGTCTTTAGTTTTCAAAGGTAAAGTCATAGATTTAAGATATGGCAATATCATTTACAATACTGAAAAATGAATAATTACAACAATACACATTAGAACTGACAATATATTGTTTTATCACAACTCTGTGGGGTATTGCATTACTTTTTAAATGATGTTTAGGCTAATTCGTAGAAATATGGAAAGTATTAGCACATATTGCTGAGTGAAAGAACAAGAGTCTATATACATAGGTAGAAGAGTCACACAGATTCTTGAATCTGGTCAATATTTTCCAAAGTTTATTTAACAAGCACCTTAATGTATTTGATGTATTTATTTTGGTGTTAAATTATTTTCAAATGCATAGCCTTTTTTTACAATTCTATCAGAAGCAAAAAAAACCATGCATTTAGAAAGTTAAAAAATAACGTAAGAAGTTCAAATGAACAAACGTATCTGTGATCGTTTTGATACTTGAACAAACGTATCTGTGATCGTTTTGATACTAAGTGAACTGAATCTTGTGCATATGTGACTAAGCAGCTGAAACCTGTGGGTAGCAAGCTCAATTCATTCACATTCATCCTGTTTCCAGCCACTTATTCATCCTGCCTCCATCTCATTCTCAAAGCCATAGTTGCTTCCAGCACCTGTGAATTCTGTGGATTTATAAACTGCTGGAAGCAAAAGACCTGTTAATGATTGTTCCTTGTCTTTGCCCTGCCTCCATCCTGAACATCACGAAGGTGTCATCTATTTTAATTTATTTCTTCTATTGCAAACAAAGAGAATTTTAAAAAAGAGATGGAGTCTATTTTTTTTATGACGTGAGTGGTTTGCTCTTGAATTTATAAGTATTACCCAAATGCAGTGTCTACTGCAGGACAAGGATGAACTGGCATTACATTCTTTGATAGAAAAATTCTATTTGTCCCCCAATTCCTCTTTTCACATGCCGTCACTTCTTGATAATTTAATAACATCTCAACCTGCCTCCATCCTTAACAGTCTGAAAAAAGAGAGAGACACTGCAGAGAGGAGAAGTAGGGGGAAGAGAAAAGGGAGAAGAGAGGAGAGGAGAGGAGAGGCAGAGAGCAGAGACAATTTTCAGGAGGTTGCACTTACACCTTACACTCCAAGGTACTTTCTCCAGCAAGAAGGGAGGCAGTAGTTTGTTATTTTTATGTCAATTTGTAAACTGAAATGAAGCAAAGACCTTCTTGAAGTGACGGATGTAAAATATATTCGAGGACATGTATTCAGCACAGTCCTTTGTTCTAGATAGGAGCTTTTCTTTTCATAAAGTTTTCCACTCTCCTTCAAGGAGAAAAAAGTTAGTTTTTGTTAATTCCTTAAAAGGCACCGTTCAAAGCACTGCCCTCGAGAAGATATCATGACAGCTCAACACTCTTTTTCGGTAAGATTCAGGTCTGGCTTTTTCCAACATGGCTGTACACTTCGCAGGCTCCCAAATCTTTCATAGTCGTCATCAATCAAATAGAAACACCACCTCTAGCGAACCTGTTTCGTGGATTAGAAATACACTGTGTACAGATGGCGTTAATTTGGAAGGCATAGCTGTTATTCCAGAGTCTTAAGAGTCGCTGGCTTTTATCAGGGATGAAGCGGGCGAGGAAGCGTGTGCAGCTTGGTGTGCAGCCGGTCTGAGGACCCAGGTCTTTTAACAGGTTTCCAGAGATTATTGACAGTTTCTGCTAAGGAGCACAGCTCATAGTGAGAAGCCGGAGGGACTAGAGCAGACTGCAATCATAACGGGAAAATGTATGTGAACTATAGGGAAGAAAGAAAGAGGTCTCCTGGCAGAGGGTTCCCCATGGTTCAGGAATTTGCAGGAATTTATCACCATTAACAGCTGTTTTCTGAGGGTTGTTTACCGCCTGATCCAGAGACAACCAGACTGAGAAGCCCACTCTGGGACCCCAGCCACGCCCCCTCACCCCTCCACCCCCCTTCCACTAAACTAATGAATTCATGGCCACCTCCTTGCTGGACCCTCCCATTGGCTCATATCCTAGCCAATCAGAGCCTTGTAAAGGTTTCACCTGGTCCCCGCTTCCTAAATAAACAAACAAACCATCCTTTGCTGTGGATGTCCCATCTCCCCCCCCCCACCTCTAGCCCCCTTTAGCCTATACAGTGTGGGCTGTGACTCCCATCCTGGCCCAGTGGCGGGACACACTGTCCAGCCCTCACGTATACCCAGTGTCCCAGCCTTCTGGTACTGTGGACTAGGCTTCGTGTGGCTAGAGAGCCCCGCCTTCTCCCGTCGGTTCTGCCTTGGATCAAAGGCTCAGTGATTTGTCCAAAGGGTCTCTGCCAATTTGAAGATGCCTCTGCCTCCGTGTCCCCCGGTGGCCCTCCCTTGCACACCTCTACTGGTGGCCGCTTGCGCCCCTCCATGGCTCGGGTAGCTGGATCTGGAGCGGGCCGCCGCGTGAGGCGACAGTCACGTGTTGTTTTGCCCGCCGCTGTGAGCCCAGCTAAGTGGGCGGGGACGCGGGCCTAGGCGGGAGGGGTCTGGGGCGGGCAGACAGGGGGGGGACGGCCTCTTCCCCCCAGCCCTCCCTTCTCGAGCCCCCCCTCTCCTCCGCTCACCTTAAAACCACCGTGCATCACCATGGCGAGTTGCTCCTTCGCTGGCGACCGAGCACTAAGGAGACTGAGAGCTGCAGCAGCAGCAGCGTCAGCAGCTCTAGCAGCAGTGGCGACCACCCCGCTTCTTTCCTCGGGAACCCCGACCGCACTCATTGGGACCGGGTCGTCCTGTCCGGGAGCCATGTGGCTCTCCACGGCCACTGGCTCCCGGTCAGACTCTGAGTCCGAAGAGGAAGACCTCCCCGTCGGGGATGAAGTCTGCAAACGCGGCTACCTGAGGAAGCAGAAGCATGGGCACAGGCGTTACTTCGTGCTCAAACTCGAGACCGAAGACGCCCCGGCTCGGCTGGAATACTATGAAAATGCCAGGAAGTTCCGGCACAGTGTCCGCGCAGCGGCGGCTGCGGCAGCGGCTGCCGCCTCGGGTGCTGCGGTCCCCGCGCTCATCCCACCGAGGCGCGTGATCATCCTGTACCAGTGCTTCTCCGTGAGCCAACGAGCTGATGCCAGGTACCGACACCTTATTGCCCTTTTCACCCAGGACGAGTACTTCGCGATGGTGGCCGAGAACGAGTCGGAACAAGAAAGCTGGTACTTGCTCCTCAGCCGCCTCATCCTCGAGAGCAAGCGCCGCCGCTGCGGCACGCTAGGCGCGCAGCCGGACGGAGAGCCGGCGGCCCTGGCGGCAGCAGCGGCGGCGGAGCCACCCTTCTACAAAGATGTGTGGCAGGTAGTAATCAAACCCAGGGGGCTGGGGCACAGAAAAGAGCTGAGCGGCGTGTTCCGGCTGTGTCTTACCGACGAAGAGGTTGTGTTTGTAAGGCTCAATACTGAAGTGGCCAGTGTGGTCGTCCAGCTCCTGAGTATTCGTCGCTGTGGGCACTCGGAGCAGTACTTTTTCTTGGAAGTCGGCAGGTCCACGGTCATCGGTCCAGGGGAGCTGTGGATGCAGGTAGATGACTGTGTGGTGGCCCAAAATATGCATGAGCTGTTTTTGGAGAAGATGAGAGCCTTGTGCGCAGATGAATACCGAGCCCGGTGCCGCACCTACAGCATCAGTGTTGGCGCCCACCTGTTAACCCTGCTGTCCACTAGGAGGCACCTGGGCTTGCTCCCCGTGGAGCCCGGCGGCTGGCTCCGAAGATCCCGCTTTGAGCAGTTTTGCCACCTCAGGGCTATCGGAGAAAGGGAAGAGGAGATGCTCCTTAACAGGCGCTTCATACCCAGGGAGCCTCGGCCTCCCTCCAGGAGAGGAAGGGGGCACGTGCCCAGAGCCCGCAGGGCCAGGAGAGCGCTTTCAGTACCACCCAGCTTTTCCCGCCGCTTAGCACCTAGCCCGCCGGTACGTGTCTCACACCCTGAAGAAGCCTCCAATGACAGAGCTTGTGAAGCCTCTGGCTCCAACTCTGGCAACTCTGAAGAAAAAGACAAGGAAGGCGAGGAAGGAAACGAAGGTGATTACATGCCCATGAACAACTGGGGCTCAGGAAACGGCCGGGGCTCAGGAGGTGGACAGGGCTCAAGTGGCCAAGGCTCCAGCAGCCAGAGCTCAGGAGGGAACCAGTGCTCAGGTGGCAGGCAGGGTTCTGGAGGTGGCCAGGGCTCAGGAGGCCAGGGCTCAGGAGGCCGGGGTTCAGGAGGTCAGGGTGCTGGAGGAAACCAGTGTTCAGGAAATGGCCAGGGCACAGCAGGTGGCCATGGCTCAGGTGGAGGCCAGTGGCCTGGCGGTGGCCATGGCTCAGGTGGTGGCCGGGCACCTGGAGATGGTCACGGCTCAGGTGGTGGCAAGAACTCAGGAGGAGGCAAGGGTTCAGGAAGTGGCAAAAACTCCGATGATGGTGACCGTGGGAAATCTGTGAAGAAAAGATCATACTTTGGTAAATTCACTCACAGCAAGCAACAGCAAACGCTGCCTCCACCTCCACCTCCACCCCCGCCAGCCGGAGCAACTGGTGGTAAAAGCAAGTCGGGGGGAAGATTCCGACTTTATTTCTGTGCAGACAGAGGAGCCACAAAAGAACGCAAAGAAGCCAAAGAGGTGAGAGATAGGGAAACCCCAGAAGGAGCAACCCGGGGGTCCCACCGAGCCAGAGCTTACGATGAAGACGAGGATGACCCATATGTGCCAATGAGGCCAGGGGTGGCTGCCCCTCTCGCATGTTCCAGTGACTATATGCCAATGGCTCCTCAAAATTCCTCTGCTACCAAAAAGCGCCACTCTAGGTCACCATTCGAAGACTCCAGAGGGTACATGATGATGTTTCCCAGAGTGAGTCCACCACCACCTGCCCCAAGTCCTCCAAAAGCACCGGATACCAATAAAGAGGATGACTCTAAGGACAATGACAGTGACAGTGACTACATGTTTATGGCTCCTGGAGCAGGTGCGATTCCTAAAAATCCTCCCAATCCTCAGGGAGGTTCTTCCTCCAAAAGTTGGAGCTCTTACTTCTCTCTGCCAAGTCCTTTTCAGAGTTCACCCTTGGGACAGAGCGACCATAGTGAATATGTTCCCATGTTGCCTGGGAAGTACCTGGGGAGGGGTCTAGACAAAGAAGCCTCCTTTAGCCAGGACACCAAAGATGTGGGGTCATTCTCAAAACCTGGAGATAGCGGGTCACCTTCAAAGCCTTCAGATGATGAGTCCCCAGTGAACAAGGCTAAGAGACCTAACCGACTTTCTTTTCTTGCAAAAGGAAACAAAATCAAGCCCAAACCAGTAAAGCCCACACAGGAGCAGAGAGGAGCTGACAGCTCTCGTGACTATATCAACATTGACTTCATTAAAAGAGAGCGCCCTGTGCCAGCTCCCTCTGCTCAAGGACTGCCAGATTCTTGGGGCTTAATTACTGACCCCAGACGCACAGCTTTTTCCGGTTACCTGAATATTGAAATCGGGGTGCCCTTTCCAAATCCAGCAATCCGCCTCTCAGATCTTTTAAGAGTTCTACCAGGTGCCAACTCGATCTATCTGGCCGGTGCTAGGTGGCCCTTTCGTCCTTTCCCAGGCAGTGCTACAAGACGTATTGTGGAAGAGGGTGAATACATTGAAGTAATTTTCAACCCAGCCATGAGACCAGTCGTGCCTTTTGCTGACAGTGCCATTCGCTTTGATGTTCAAACCGGTCAAATGTATGTAGTCGACCCATTTTCTGAGTGCTGTATGGACATTTCTCTCTCTCCTGGTCGATGCTCTGAACCGCCACCTGTAGCTAGGCTGCTGCAGGAGGAAGTGCAGGAGAGAAGACGCCCACAAAGCCGCTCCCAAAGTTTATTTGCTAACACCCGAGCCGCTGTCTCTGCTTTCCCAACTGACAGCTTGGACAGAGATTTTCCCGCCGCTTCTGCCGGGGTTGTTGTTCCAGCTGGGGCGCCCATCTTGGCAGTGAGCCGGGCTTTAGCTGTGGTCTCTGCGCTCGCAGCGGCCCCCGGTTTTGGCGCTATCTTTGCCGGCTTCCAGGCCACTGTCAGATTTGACTCCGCCTCTGCTCGCCGGTTCCAACCTGTTGCGAATGCTCTCGGTGCCCAGGCTGTAAGAGGGGCCCAGGACATTGCCGCAGGCTGGAATCCTGAAGCCCTTAACCAAGCTGCCAGAGGTGAGGAACTGGCGGCCCGCGCAGCAGCTCCCCCACCGCCACCTCGCCAGCGACGGGTGCTGAGACCCCCAGAGAGAGCTGACTCTGAGGACAACGACGAAGATGACGACGAGATTTACGTGAGAATGGACTTTGCCAGACGTGACTACAAGAAGTGACCATTCTCCGCAAAGAGGTTGGTGAATATATAATTAAAATTCCTGAAGTTAATGCAAATTGGCTAATGAGTGAGTTGATGCGCTACTTGCTATGATGTTAACAATAAGTGAGGCGATGGTTCAGATTTACTAGTGTTATTGGAGAGTAGAGTTCACTTTTCATTTTTCACATGGTACACGTTTGGTCTTTGCGAAAATGTAAGCTTTTATTTAACCCATTAATTTATCTGACAGAGCCAATTATTAAGCACTGGATTTAACTCTTAGGAGCAGTTGAAACTTAAAAGACCCACAGCATGAGGTTGCTCTCCCCTAAGTCCTTATGAAACTGAGTTCCATCGAGTAACTTTCAAGCCTGCAACTAAAGCTGCTTTTCTACCAGTGAGCAATCTAAGTGCAGGGGTTGAATGAGAGCGCAGAAAGTTTAGCAGTGACAAGCCAACTATTAAACATAGTCACTTGCTTTAAAAAATGCAGTCATTGTTTTCTGTGATTTGCCCAAAAGCTTCACTCTCATTTGTCAGCGGAATGATGAGAGGGTGCATAGATAATCATAACGCCATTTGATTAAAAGCCAATATTTGCTCTGGAGAGTGTTTCTGTGTTGATCTGTTTTTGTTTTTTACACAGGATAAAATGTGAGAAACCATGAGTGTCCCTTTTCTCTGCTACTGGTAGGGAAAGGCAAGTCACTTGTGTTGTGTTTCATTTTCTTCCTGTACCCCCACCTCCTCCTCTCTAGGGGGTGTAGTGACATCTTGATTATGGATATGAATATTGTTTCAAGGTTTAAAAAGTATTTAAAGCATTTAATCGATATGTCTTCTGAGAAATCAAGGAGAGCAAGGTAACAAGTCTGGAGGAAGACTGGGCTCTAGGGCAGCCCACCCTGAGCAGTGTGTGTGTGGTGTGTGTGTGTGTGTGTGTGTGTGTGGTGTGTTTGTGTGTGTGTGTGTGTGTGTGTGTGTGTGTTTGTGTGTGTGTATGGAGGGAGTTTCGAGGCCTAATTTTCTGAAGGAAGAGAAGGACTGAGAGCAAAGATTAGTGAATCTTAGAGCAAATTTCTCAATATTGACTTGAGATCTTCTTGAGAAATGTCTGCAGATGATACCCCTGGAGCCTGCCTGCCCTGCCTTCTCTCTTTAGAAGAATATGCTTCTTTGCCTGAGAAAGGATGGTTCCCAGCGGTTTTCAGTCGTCAGTTTAGTGAACTTTTTTGCTTTGCTTGGACTCTGGAATGCTTTTGTGATCAGATCTTTGCCCACTGTGCTTGATCAGGCAGAACAAGTTGGGGACTGATCACAACAGTCACCTTACAAGCTCCCCATTTAGTGCAGGTGTAGCCCCCCTACCTCCTCTTTCTCTCCTAGCTATAGAAATTTTGCCATACAAAATCTCACATTTGCAGCACAGAAACACCAAGAGAGTGACCAGTAAAACAACAAAAGGATGCTTTGGCTTGCCAAAGGACTCAATTAAAAAGTTCTTTAAATTGTGAGGCTCCTCCCTAGTGTGCGCCCACACACACACACACACACACACACACACACACACACACACAGAGAGAGAGAGAGAGAGAGATCAAGCACTGCTATCATAACTATGTATTTAAAACTCATAATTCCATTTCCAAGAACTTATAATCAGATAATCAGCCTCTCAGGGACAAGTGAACAGAAAGTACACCCCAACATCACCCTCTAACCTTTGCTGGAGTCTAATTGCTGAAGGTGCTATGTACAACTTTGATGTAACATTCCACATCAAAAGAGATGATGCACCAAGGTAGCTGCTTGTGACCTGTGATTCTTTGAAATGATGTCTATACTTTCCAAATACTCTGATCTTTGTTCACACATAAATTAAAAAGAGTGAAATCATACTGTTCTTCAAATAAACTCTGACTTCTGAGGATTGTTGAGATCCAGTGGCCATAATATTTGTATAAGTTACCAATGAATGGCTTTGTAGCTATTTTGGAGATTTAATGTTTATTGAAGAAATTGCTAACTTTATTGAGGGACTGCATCACCAAAGCTGTATCTCATAGACAGGCAGGAGATTACAATATGATAAGTGAGTGAATATGGAAGCATTTTTGGAGCATGAAATCACTTTACAAATATAATGTATTCTTATTTTGTTGTTGGTTTAACACTGAAGTGACACTTCAAGCATTTAGATTAATTAGATTTTCTGAAAGCTACCTAATTTCTTGGTGCAGAAGGGAGAGCTGACATGGAATTTTCTGCAATATATCATATGGAAGGGCATGGGAAGAGGTGTGGTATTGAAATAACCTATTGTAGAAAATGACTTTAGTTAACATTTAAATGTGAATTGATAAAATGTTGTCTGTTAAGTATGGAATCAGGCCAGATGAATCTGATCATGTTTTTCTCTAAAGTTATAGAAGAAATTTCACCTATTTCTCTTCTGTCTTTATTTTCTTATCTAGCACTGAAAAAAACGAAAACATCATGTTTAGAAACAACTAGTGCTTTGAACAAGGAACAAAGACACAATATTCGGGGTCATATAACTCAATTAAGTTAATCGCAGTTTGTGGAATGTGTTTTAGAACTGGAATAAAGAAATGCTATGTGTGTATTACCATGTAGTTAGAATCAGTATTCTGGTTGTGACTGTTAACTACTAAATTTAGAAACTCAAAGTTCAGTTAAAATTGTGTGTTACTTTTTTATTAGTCTTTCCTTCCATTAAAAGTATCACACATGATTATTCCAACTTGGTATCTTTATATAGAGATTTATTTATAGTGTAAGTAAGATTATATTTTAGTAAGACCAGTTTATCATGTAATGCAGAATAATAAATGTATAATCTTATTTATCTACAGTCAAGCTTCATGTAAGTATTTTATAGTTTCTCTTCAAACCAATTAGAAAGGAACACCCAGAATATAACTTGAATATGTCATTTTTTAATGGATGAAATATTTTTAAAGCAGTCCCTTGATAAAGGCTTCAGGTTTTGAACACATTAGCATTTAGAAGAGTGTCACTTCCCATGTGATTTAGTCCATCCCTAAACTCTTGTGTGCCTTTTTGCTTCTTTTAATGCTTTACCTGATATAAAATTGATAGGTTGAACTGATTTGAGATGTAGATTTCTTTGGTATTTTTATTCAAGATGTAGGAATATGAAATGGGCAGCTATAGATGGTGTGAAATAATTGATTAGACAAATTAGTTATATTATGATAGTACTTGGTATTAAAAGGCCAAAAACTAGTAATTGGCTTTTGACAATTTAGGTCCTATTATCACCACATAGGAAGCCCAAGCTTTTTTTCTGTTGTCCTGCTGCCAAGTCCTGTTGCTATAAATTGTACGTGCTGAAAGCAAATTATTTTTACTGTATTAAATTCATTTATTGTAACTAACTAACATATAATCTCCAGATACTAGAGATTTTCCAGCTATAATTGGCGGGTCACTTATTTCATGTAGCATTAACTCCCGCCACCCCCACCCCCCGCCAAATCTGGATAGTTCTTTGGATTAATGAGGTATTTGACCTAAACAATTAAAGAGGACCTCACTCAGTTGAAGTTAGCTAAACTTTTTGGCAATCATTATTCATTTGCATTCATTCTATTTTAAGACTGATGCTTCCAGGATAAAAATGTCAGCTACAAGCAAACCATCTCTTTGAAACCAGGGCCAAGACTTTAATTAAGCACACCAGACTGTTACACATTCATAAATAGTCAACCAGGTCTCCAGCTTTCTTTCCCTGTCCCTAATCGCCAAACATGAACCTAAATGCTTCAAGTCATTGGCAGGCATTTATCTTGGGGAACAAACTAGGATTTGTCAAAAAAAAAAAAAAAAAAAAAAAAAAAAAAAAAAGCAACAACAACAGACACTTCATGTTGGAAAGGATGTGGCTGGCCATTGCATTGCAGGGAGAAGTAAGGATTGCTGTGTGTGATTTCAAATGGTCTGTTATTAAATTGTTAACTTCTTGATTGAGGGAATGCTTTCCAGTTACAGATTGATTGCCTTATTTTTTTCAAAGCTCATTCACATTCATTATTTTACTGACGGTAAGTACTGGAAGTGAAGCTGGAGTTAAGAATTTTCCTGTGTTCCTGAAGGTAAGTGGCAGAGCTGAAAATGTAACTCATACATCTGTTTTCCAATCTAATGCTCCATCTAGCATATCACACTGCCCTCTAACCAAATGCTTAATTTGTCACTTTTATATTGATGAAAATCATTATATATGAAAACATTGGGAGCAAAAGCAGAAGTACACTTTAATTCAATAGCAAATGTTGTTGTAATTCACTTAAGAGCGCTGTAACTGGAGCACCTATCAGGGCTCAGGTGCTCGTCATTATATTGAACTCTTTGCCATGGTCCTTTTAGAAAAAAAGAATTTGAAGATAGCTGAAACTTAATGTTTTAAATCTGATCTAGGGAGAGTTAGATACTCTGACTTCCTAAACACAAATTGTATATGTGTGTATGTGTGTGTGTGTGTGTGTGTGTGTAACATCAGAAAGGAAAGAAAGTGAAATGAGCCTGTATTCAATAAATTCTAATTAATGGTCATTTCCCTAACTGAGGTTATATTTCTAAAGCTTTTCAGCTTTTGTCAGCTATTGTGAGTCTCCTTCCACATAAATCTAGTATTTTAATCTAAACTACCACAGTGAGCAAAACAGGACAGATAGGGAAAGGGTGCTGTAGAAATGTATGTTTTTTTTTTTTAACGTTTTTGTTGTTTCTTTTCTGTTTTTGTTTGTTTGTGCTTTGAGAAAGTAGGTTTTAGAAGTCTTGAAAAATCAAAGCCTCTGTGTGGGACATTAAAGAATCCTTGTTTAAAATTACATTCATTTTATTTAGCACCTTAAAGGCTTTAAGACTACATAAAAATAGCCCAGACATTTTATTGGCAGTTTGGGGAAATGCCTTTTATAAAATGCTTAATTAAAGCTTGTAGTATGTTTGGTGTTAGAGGGGGCTGTCAAGCTCTTAGAACGTGGGGATCATTTACTCAGTGAAAATTGGAGATTTAAGCAATGGCTTTTTTGAATAATGGAGTGACTACATTATAATCCACTTGTTTTTTCTTTTTTAGTACAACTATCGAAATGCAAAATTGAAAATTGTTGATAACATTGTGAGATTTTATACTTGCTTTATGAGCATATGATATCCTCTCTTGCAACTCTACACTGATTATTGAGCACACAGATGTGGAATCATAGGCTAAACATTTAAGACACTGGGAATTTTAGGAGTTTTTCTTTCTTTTTTGCAACATATCATTTTTATTGATTTTTCTGGGCATTTCACACCATGTGCTATGATTTAGGAGCTTTTGTTAATGGGAACATATATGTTGGTTTCAATTGGTATTGATTTAAAGAGTAGTTTTCAGTTTTAGACTGGTGAATTAATCCCCTTTAGAATTTTAAATAGCTGCTTGAGTATTTATTTAGAGAAATGAAAAGTGATCGCTATTTTCCCCTGCATTCTGACATACCTTCTTCATTGTGAAGTTTGTCATTGCTTGTATTCTATGACTTGTACTGTCAAGATGTCCTTTATCCAACTTGTGCCCTTCATTTCACTAAAAATGCCCTTACCTGGTCTCTGTCCAACAGAAATGGTGGTTAACATTCTAGGACTTCTGTACGGCCTATGAAGAACTATTGGCCTAGATGTCCCTAGTCCCAGCTTGCTTGAACTCAGCTAGAAGGAGCAGCATTTTTTTTTTGTAGGGATTCCTGTTGTACATTTCTGACTTTGTGATGCCTGGTTCATTGTCATTTGTTGGCATAGAGGTAGCCACAATGATATTTCAAGCTATTTCCATGCTTAGATTAACCACAATATATGTGATGCTAATGAGACCCTCGAGATTTGCTGAATGTCCCATTTGCCATAAATTTTGGTCACTCTAGTTAGATCTAAAAAGTTGCATAACTTTTATCAATGTGATTACTAATTTCCTACTTAAAGACTTGAAATGTACAAAGAATGTCAATCAAGTCAACATCTCCAAATTGATCTTGAAAATTGCTCACATGTTAATCCACCAAGTCCTTGAATGAATGACCATGGAATGTGATTTTAATATTTTGAATTAAGATACATTATTAGTTCTATCATCCATCATGGCTAAACGTTCTATTTCACTGGATTCCCAGACTGAAACTTTCAATGCATCTCACAAAGATGATTGGGTACAACAGTTCCTCTTTTGGTTCAGGAACTGAAGAGGTCAAATAGAATCATGTGTAGACAGTTTTTTTTTTATAATAGTGTTTCTGTGAGGTAATTTATTATGAGTTGCAGCTAAACAATGAACCTGGGATTATGGCTTTTGTAAACTGAAGAGTGCACATATTAAAATTCTAGTAACTTGCATTCTTCACATTAGCAGTAACTAGGCAGCAGAGTGAAGGAACCCAAGCATGTATTGGGAAGTGCAGGGAAACTAACCTAGGATGAAAAATAAAGAGACTGATTCCCAGTCTATTTCTAGATAATCAGGAATGAGAAGTTAACCAACAGTGTGGCCCAGAGTCTGATCTTGATGGGCAGATGTAAAACAACTAGGCTGGCCTTTGAAAACGTGGAACTTTACAAGTGTTATCCATTTTCATTCCAAATTCTTTTGACGTTTCTCTTAGGAAATCAGTGCCACTGTGGAGAAAAGAGTATTTAATCATTTGATCTCTGAAGTGGATACTATGAGTGGCACTGTAAAGATCAGCAGCAGTTCTTGCTAACGTTCACACTTTAGGAACATTAGTTCCTATTTATCAACATATACGGGATCATCATCCTGTATAGTCACCAAGCACAGAAAGGTGTGGCGACAGTTCTGATTGACTAGATGAAACCTGCATATAATCCAATGACTGCTAAACTAAGTAGCATGCTTGCAATTTTGTTTATTTATATTCTTCGTTTGAGCTGCTGTTATATTTTTGTAAGGAAAGAATAAATTAAAATGATCCCGTTATCAGCAAATGATCCTAATCCCAAGCATTGTCACTTAGGTGGGTTAGGAGCATAATTTGTATGTTTCTGGACAAATTATGAAATGAAGTGCATAATATATGATTATCATAAATCAATTTGAATTAGTTGCAATGTATTACATATATGAACTTATGAAGATATTATATATTAAAAATAAGTTAAATTAGTTAAATGCCTTTGTAACATCACATTTCTGTTAAAAATTCCACAATACCTACCTAGCCCAATTTTGTCACGAGTAAATGAGTTACTAATATGCGTGCTCACAGCTAATCAATCTGTGGTGGCCGTACATAATATTTTATCTTAATAGAACCTAAAATTTCACAAATGTAGTGCTCATAGGAAGACTTAATACTTCCAATTTAGGGTACTTCTTTTTAATATGAAGGAAAGAACAATGAGAGTGATTAATAACCACAATAAGTAGGAAATGTGGAGATTTTGATGCTCAATCTTGTTGCATTCATTAAAATAGTCATCAAAATAAATAGATACTTACAGTTTAATTAAAGATCTTTTACTTGAAGCCTACTCTGCAGGAAACTTTACATGGTTTCTTTTAGCTTGTTTCAGGTGACATGAAATACTGGGTACTTTGACGTAACCAGAGCTTAAAGTAACCTTGGCATTCCATAATCCACTTGCTCGGAATTTTCTTCTCCTCCCCTGCCTTTCATTCCAGTAACTTCCTCCACGTGCTTAATTTCCACTTTTCTACAAACCTCGAAGTCTCTTGTATACCCTCACATTAAGCTGATGGTTAAGAGAGTCATATCTTTTTGGTAGAGAATGGGAAACTTCAATCAAATCTTTGCAGTTATAACTAGTTCTTTTAGAAGAAATTCCATGGTTAGATCAGAAGACCCTTATCAAGATTGTCCTTTAATCCTTTGACTTGTGTCGCCTAAGGTGAAGGTAGACTTAAGCATGTAGGAGAAGGAAGAGCATTTTCTGTTTAAGGCTCCCTTCAGGGGGCCCACTGGCATGAAGATGAACAGTCCAAGCAACTGCCGACCAGCAGTGCCAAGTTGGCATTCTGGATATAGGAGTAACTATCCTAGTGTTTTTGCCCACCTTGTGTTTTCTCTGCAGAGGATGACTGCGCTGTTGATTAACCAAAGCAGTATCCTCAAAGTGTCTCTCAGGAACTTCTTTATGCGTTGTTTTCTTTTGTTTAAAAATGAGGGGGTGGCAGTTCTTCAAACTAATTTTGAAAATAATTGTTTTATCATTTTTTTTGTAGAGATATTACATTGCCACCGAAACCAAACACAGTTTAGAAGAAACATGACACGGACCTTCATCTTCATCTACTCCAGATCTGCCTAAAAGAAAGAAAATGTTGAGGCTTCTAAATAGAAAGCAGTCTCAACTTCTACCAGTCAACTGGACTGTGGCAGCTGAATGAACCGGCTCATGGAGTTCATTCTCACCACTGCCTCCTGGATCCTGTTGATTGACTTAAAGATGTGATGTGCGCACTGTACATTGGCTTTGTTTCCTAGTTTCCCTGACCTGTCTCTTTGAAAGGAATGAGATGCTGTCAGTTAGTATCTCATGACACTTCCCCTTTTCCTCTCTAAAAATGTGTTCAGTCTATGTAAATATAGTCAGCATCAATTTTAATGACATATAATACTTGGATGAAATTTCAACGTGGACATCTTTAAACAATGGGAGATAAACATATATATATATATATATACATATATATATATATATATATATATATGTGAAAGAGAAGGTAGGTATGATCTGGAATCTTCTTTTCTGATCAGTACATACTTAAAATACTTCCTGATCAAGGAATTAATGTGAATTGAACTTCAATCTTGACAAGGCATTTTCAATATAAATGACTAAGACGTGACTAAAGGGCAAATTATCTCAGATTTTGCTCAACAGTACTACAACATTCTACAGACACTAACCATGACTAAAGCTATATCTTGACAGAGTATGTCTAGCATTTTAAAGGCAGAGCCAAGGAGCAGGTTGTCTACTTGTTCATGTAGAACCTGGCCATGTTCTGCTAGTGGATTGAGCATTTCCAAACCTATTGATTTGATATGATTTTTAACATATATTTATCCCTGAAAAGAGGCAAGCCTCCACCCCAAAAGACCCTTTCTGCCCCTCTGGGGCTCCTCCTTCCTACTCTTCAAACTTCCTTCCCCCTTTTCTGGCCTTTTCCCTAATAACCTTTCTTCCTTACATGCCCAGGACACCTATAAAGAAATTAGTTTCCCATGTTCAGAAACTACTGCATAGCTATCAGCTGATCATCTGCCTAAAATTTAAGCCAAAAGGAACCTCTTATAAGGCCTTATTTCCTTCTGGACATTTGAGCCAATATAAGATGCACAAAATTTAAAAGAAAAAAATCAGAGCAAGCTCCCCCACTCCTATTTTTGCTTGTCTCTGATGGAAACTGAATTAAGATTTTAGGAACCTGGACCTTTGAGAACTTGATAACAGCAGGTGGTGACCACACAGGATAGAAACAAAGGTCTTGAAGCTTGCTTAGAGCTTTGTTATGTGGTGGAACACAGCTCTTGGCTGGAGTACCATCACTGACAAACCTCATCATCTCACAGATGGGTGTGAGTGTTTGAGCAAGTGTCTGCAAAAGTGTGTGAGTGCTAGTGTGTGTACGCACACGTTCATGTGTAAGTACACCTTTGTGTACCTGTGAATGTGATTATAGCCGTACCTGTTGTGTGTAACTCTGTTTAACAAAACTTGCTTCGCATTTAACGTGCAACTTTGAAGTAGTGTAACATTTACTTGAAGTTCTTTGCCACTCGGTTCCTACATCTTTGAACGTGTGCTTCTATCTTTGAGCAGGCTTCTTGTACATGTTGCTGTACTAACTTTCTGAAGAACCGAGTTGACTTCTGTTGTTTCTCCCTGCCTACCAAGCAAAGGGATGGGGTGGGGGGGGTGCTCCTTTTTCCCTGTGTGAATTGTGCTGAGAAGAGGATGTAGCTTCAATGCCAGTCACTGACCCAGTTTCTGGTCATTGCTAGGGCATCACTTTCATCAGTCCCTTCAGGCTCCTCTCTTGTTCCTACCTAATTCAGTAATGCAGTGTGAATTTTGTTCATCGTAACAGTGTACTCTTTAGGCAGCCTTTCTTCAGGCCTTCTGTTACCATTTATAGTCAAGTTAGTTGTCATAATCGTTCAGAATTGTAGCAAGAGAAGATTATTTGGGGGACACTGCTGTATTACTTAACTCACGTATTCGGTTTAAGGGCTGCCAAGAGACAGGGTACTGATGGTAGAGCACAGGGTAGCACACTTGCTGAATAAATGAACGGAAACCTCATACACAACAGTACATACAATTAGTCACAGGTACAAATAGTCACAGGTACAGCATAACAAATATGCAATCTTTCTGACACAACTTGCTAGTTTACAGATATAATTAATTTATTCAGTATTGTGCTGGAAGAATCTATGGAATATGTGTACTGACATACTACTTACCTTCCAGTGGTGATTATGCTGCTGAGAAAAAGCAATGATGGAACGATTTGTGTGTGTGTGACTGCTACATTAGTTTGGTGTCATACATAGTTACTTGGTCAGTAAAAACTTAAGCTTTACAGTTCCAACAGTCCATTACATTTGCTATTTCTGCTTCACAGACCTGCTTTGAGTTGCTCTGTGTTTGTCTTCCTTTGTAAATACTCTTAAACTTTCTTGTTTGTAAGCATCTCGTTTGCAGTTTTGGGAGACAACCTTGCAACTCTGTATAGTGTTTATATATATATCTTACTTGCTTTTCCATAGAGCTACTTGCAATAAATGTGTTCATGTAACTTATTTGTGTGAAATTTTTTTTCCTTAATACAGTTGTCCCAGCTTCATTACAAACATATTTCCCTGCTCTTGCAAAAGTGACTGCCAGCTATTTCCCAGAATGAAGCAGTTGGGGTAATTAAAACCTGTCAATCACTTTCCCTACAAACATGAAGCTTTTGGTATAGTTAATAGGATCAACTCACTTTTGAGACTACAAATATAGAGGTGCTACTAGTATAAAACAATCTACAAAATGAGTGCCCTGAGTTTCCACATGGACCACTACAGCGGTTCAATATAATGACTACTATAATGAATCAACCACCCCAGGAGAGTGAGGTGATTGTTTATAATTGGACTGTATCTCCTTGTCACTTAACATACTTTGAAGGACTCCTTTTCTTTGCGTTCTTTTTAGCCATGGAAAAAGAAAATATTAGAACGTGAAAAATAGACCAATAGACACAAAACATTTCCACACTGAGGGACTACAGATGGAAGGGTAGATTGAATACCATGAGTTCATATACAAGTTATGTCAGTCTTGTTAGAATTCACAGGCTTTGAGAAACACTAAAAAATATGGTTACTCCATTATATATTTGGTGTTTCCCAAGTTGCCCTTGCCACATAGCAAAGTGAGAGCAAATCTGGGAAGTAGTGGGTTCACAGAGGTCACATGGACCCCAGGGTAAGAAAGCAGGTCTCAGATAACGTACACATGAGCTGTCTCTATGCAAACCGGTATGTTGATTGTACAGCTTGAGCTTTCGGTGTGCGTCTCAGAGGACATATGTAAACGAACATTGCAGTGGAAAGATAGAATTAAAGTACCTTTATCATTAGAGATGCCACTATGCAGCATGGGTGAAGAAGCCTGAGGCCAGTGGGAAAGCTGGCCCTGAGGTCATAAGTGTGGGAGAGCTTCTCTTGCCCACCACCAGCTACAACACTCCGGAGAGCAGGTCCTGTTCCCCATGTGGGCAGCAAAATAGAGCCAGTCCCATTGGTGGGAGTTGTGGGTGAGCCAGCCCTGATGTTGTTGGCATGAGAGAGCTGTCCCCATTACTAATCTGTCAAGTGGCAGTATGGGGGTTGGGGGAGAGCTAGCCCTGAGAGCATAAGGGGGGATAGCTGCCCTATACCCCACCAGCTGCAGCACCAGGCCCTGCCTCTCCCTTAGGCAGCACAATAGAGCAAACCCCATTGGTGGAGCTGTGGGTGAAGCAGCCCCAAAGCATGAAGTGCTGCTGTCCCTATTACCTGTATGTCACATGGCAGTGTGGGCTCAGGAGAGATGCCCTCCCCCAATTGCCCATCAACACCCAAGGCAAGTGGTAGAGCTGTCCCTGAGGTCATAAGAATGAGAGAGCTGACCCTGACCCTCATCAGCTGTGGTACTCAGGAGATGCCATGCATTGGCGACACAACAGAGCTGACCCTGAAAGTGTAGGTGTGGGAGATCCCACACCGAGGACATGAAAGCAGGAGAGTTGGTCTTGCCCCTTGATACTAGGGGCAAATTAGCCAGGGCAATGGCTGGCTAACTCACCCTGGTGGTGAGTATGGGGGAGAGGTGGCTGGCTGAGCAACCTTGCAACTATCTAGAACCAGGATTATGTGTTGACTCACCCCAATATTCACCCTATCTGTGATATGCTGGAGCACAGGAGAGGGACTGTCCTGCAGACCCAAAGCTGCAAGATTTCCACAACACAGGGCAATAGCAAGATAACTAAAAGGAGTCCCAGTGAGGGCTTAGCATTGATAGTGTAGCAGAAACCCGAGGCCTCAAACCAGACCAATGACTCTTTGCAATCAACACTTGCAAGTAAAGATATATGGATAAAACGGTTTACTGTATAATTCACTGTGTCACCCTGCAGCTTCCATGATGAGACTGATTTTTTTTCTTTTTTCTCTTAAATTTTAGTTTATTTGGGGGAGGGAAGATTGCAAGGTCAGATGGTAGCTATGAAGGGACAAGGAAATGAATGGGATAGAGATGCATGATGTGAAAGACATGATGAATAAAGAAAAAGAAAAAAGAAGAGGCTCCACAACAGGCAGAAATTCAGTTACTCTCATTTCATGTATGTATGTAAAAATTTACAAATACTAATTCACATGTATTATATACATATATATCATTTCATGAAACCATATACATACAATTATATATAATATTTATTTTCAAAGACAAATGTACACATTGATGCTTTTCATCTTGCATGACTTTTGTATGTCCATTTAGGTTTTAATTCTTAACAACTTGAATTCCCAGAACAGTAGGAACACACAGTTCAGTCACAGAAAGCACCTATATATTAGAGTAAACAAAACTTGAACTTCCACAAGCTTCTTGTCTCATGCATGACAACCAAATAGTCTTTGTGAGATGTCAAGGGGTTTTCTTTTTAAAATATAAAAATTAGGGACAAATATTTATTGTACACAATGATGGGTTTTATAAAGACATTTCCATGCAAATATATCATGTATTCAACTCACCCTCCATTTTCTCCACCTTCCCCTTATTCCCATTCATTCCTCCAGATAGTTTTGCCTCTACTTGCACATCCTATTCACGGTGCCAAGTTACGGAATCAATCTAAGAGTCAACAGAGAAATTAATAAAGAACATGGGATATGTTT